AGCTAATGTTCTTCAGCTTTTAGCTAGTGTTCTGCTGCTTTTAGCTTTTGTTCTGCTGCCTTTAGCTAGCGCTCTTCAGATTTTAGCTAGTGTTCTGCTGCTTTTAGTTGTGTTCTGCTGTTTATAGCTAGTGCTCTTCAGCTTTTAGCTAGAGTTCTGCTGTTTTTAGCTTTTGTTCTGTTGCTTTTAGCTTGTGTTCTGCTGTTTTTAGCTAGCGCACTTCAGATTTTAGCTAGTGTTCTGCTGTTTTTAGCTTTAGGTAGTGCTCTTAAGCTTTTAGCTAGTGTTCTGCTGTTTTTAGCTTGTGTTCTGCTGTTTTTAGCTTATGTTCTGTTGCTTTTAGCTTGTGTTCTGCTGCTTTTAGCTTGTGTTCTGCTGCTTTTAGCTAGCGCTCTTCAGATTTTAGCTAGTGTTCTGCTGTTTTAACTAGCGCTCTTCAGATTTTAGCTAATGTTCTGCTGCTTTTAGTTGTGTTCTTCACCTTTTAGCTTGTATTCTGTTGTTTTTAGCTTGTGTTCTGCTGCTTTTAGCTTGTGTTCTGCTGCTTTTAGCTAGTGTTCTTCAGCTTTTAGCCAGTGTTCTTCAGCTTTTAGCTTGTGTTCGGCTGTTTTTAGCTTGTGTTCTGCTGTTTTTAGCTAGTGTTCTTCAGCCTTTAGCTAGTGTTCTGCTGCTTTTAGCTTGTGTTCTGCTGTTTTTAGCTTGTGTTCTGCTGTTTTTAGCTTGTGTTCTGCTGTTTTTAGCTTGTGTTCTGTTTAAACTCAGATTTATTTTTCCAGCACGGCTCATTCAAGCCGTTCTGTGGTCACATGGTGCGTTGTTGTTATTGCTTGCTGCCAAGACAAGCGGCCGATCGTGTACTTCATGTGTTGTTCTTTCATTTCTCTTTCTGTTAGTAAAATATCTTGTGATTCCCACGTGCTGGGGGTCGGGGTATTTGGATAAATACCAAATCTTAGAAGAATGTCTGTAAGACAACCAGAACTGTGGCCAGTTTTGCGTTGAGGGTATTTAGCAGTGGCGGCCATTTTGACTTGGGAAGATGGAGGTGCATTTGTTTGTTCTTCAGATGAAACGTTTTGTGGCTCTGACAGGAACAGCTGATCCTCCCGTCCCACCTGAGTGGCGGCTCAGCGCGGCGGCTGAGTCCTCCAGCAGGAAGTAGATGGAGTCGTTGGAGAGCAGCAGACAGCAGGCGAGCTCGGTTTCTGGAGATTTGTAGAGAACCACAGAAAGCCACAAGACGTGTCTCAGCTCCTCCGCCTCCGCCTGGTTCAAAACAAACGCACAAAGGGTTAAACAGAATATTTCTGAGTATCAAAACCACCGTGAAGAAGTTTAAACGTCTTTTATTCTTCCAAGAAGCTTTCCTCAAGACATTAACCGTCAAAGTGACCTTCAGCTCCTGGAGTGAAAGTAAAAAACATGAAATATTAACGAGCAGGCTCAGCTTGTGCTTCACCTGAGCTACGTATCTGCTGAAGCAGGTCTGCAGCTGCTGGAGACTGAGACCAGCAAGGAGCTTCAGTCCTGGGGACAGACCCGGGACCAGGTGCGGGGACGGTCGGTTGTCCTCAGCTTGGAGTTTGGACGAGTCCCAGCTGAAAAGAAAAGACATAAAAACAATCGGCGGAAGAAAAAACAGGTAAAACTTCTGTTTGTCCTGGAGCTTAGAGCAGTCATTTAAGCTTGTACCTGCTGAAGGTGAGCAGGGTCCGGCCACAGGTGCAGCAGCAGAGACCTCTGGACCTGAGCCCACCTGAAAACACAACAAACCGTCAAAGTGGAAGAAGAAGCAGACCCTGAAGATAAAGACCGGTTCCTCCGTGTGTTCACCTGGTGCAGGTGGTCCTTGGTGTGGACAGGACCTGCAGGGTCGGGGCAGGGCCACCATCTTCAGCCCCTCCCAAGAGGCTCTCCTCTGGATCAGCTCACTCAGGAAGGAGGTCCTGTTCTGGGCCAGGGGGAAGAGCAGGAGCAGCCTCCGGCCACCGAGGAGCAGAACCACCGAATGACGACTTCTGGACACAAAAGAGTCAAAATACAGAAATGACTCCATGAAAACACGGAACGAATGAAGCTAAAACTGTTCTTCAAGCTAAAACAACCAAAGAGGAGGTTAAAATGAGCCGAACAGAGGATGCAAACAAAAAGAATACAAGCTAAGAGCTAAAAACATCAAAACATTAGCCTAAAGCATCAGAACGGTAGGTGAATGCAGCGAACAGTAGCTGAAAGCAGCAGAACGGTAGCTGAAAGCAGCAGAACAGTAGCTAAAAGCAGCAGAATGGTAGCTGAAAGCAGCAGAACAGTAGCTGAAAGCAGCAGAACAGTAGCTAAAAGCAGCAAAACGGTAGCTAAAAGCAGCAGAACAGTAGCTGAAAGCAACAGTAGCTAAAAGCAGCAGAACAGTAGCTGAAAGCAGCAGAACGGTAGCTGAAAGCAGCAGAACGGTAGCTGAAAGCAGCAGAACAGTAGCTGAAAGCAGCAGAACAGTAGCTAAAAGCAGCAGAACAGTAGCTGAAAGCAGCAGAACAGTAGCTAAAAGCAGCAGAACAGTAGCTGAAAGCAACAGTAGCTAAAAGCAGCAGAACAGTAGCTAAAAGCAGCAGAACGGTAGCTGAAAGCAGCAGAATGGTAGCTGAAAGCAGCAGAACAGTAGCTAAAAGCAGCAGAACAGTAGCTAAAAGCAGCAGAACAGTAGCTAAAAGCAGCAGAACAGTAGCTGAAAGCAGCAGAACAGTAGCTGAAAGCAACAGTAGCTAAAAGCAGCAGAACAGTAGCTAAAAGCAGCAGAACAGTAGCTAAAAGCAGCAGAACGGTAGGTTTTGATTGACACAACTGAGAGCTTTTCATTTCAGCGGTCCGGTCCAGAGTTTCAGCACCTGTGACGGTGCTGCGGCCCGGGACAGAACCGAGCATCTTTCTCTCCGGGGTGAAGAACCACAGAACCGAGCGGCACGCGGACCAGCCTGCACCAGGATGAAGAGGAGGACTGATGAAGGCTGTTGCTCTCCTCCTCTGCCAACTGTCTGAGGTCCATCTTCAGCACCCAGAGGTGTCTGCAGGTGAGGAAGAGGAGTGACAGGAGGCTGGGGTCCTCAGACGTGACGTCTGGCAGGAGGGGGGGTGCGTCTGAGGCAGAGGACGAGGAGCAGCAGAGGATGTGGGCAGGATAGCCTCCCTGGGCTCCCAGACTCTCCTCCAGCTCCCAGGAGTTGACCAGCGAGGGGGGGAGGAGCTGAGGAGTGCTGAGGGGCTCTGGGGGGCTCTGAGACTCTGACGTCTACAAGAAAGAACAAGGTGAGTACGCTGCAACCAAACTGATGAGCTCTGAACCATCTGTCGGGTCGTTCTCTGACCTGCTGCAGGGCTTTCAGCTCAGTTCTGGTCTGTCGGACCTCCTCAGCCTCAGAGAAGATGTACCAGCGCGTCGGGCTGGCTTGGACTCCAAAGGAGAGGCAGGAGTCGGGGAGCTCGGACCGGGAGGACAGCGTAACCTGGGAGTATGGCACCAGGAGGTCCACCTGCAGGCCCAACAGAACCTCCTCCACAGCTGGACTCTGGTCCTGCTCTGGGAACGTGTCACCTGTAAAGATGTCACACATGACCTGCTGCACCAAAAGGTTGAATACACACCACATTCTGAACAGGCGCCATGTTTATTACCTCTCTCCTGATTGGCCAACAGGGAGTCATGTGACAGAAGCAGGCCCAACAGCTGGTCCGTCAGCACCAGGCACGCCTCCCTCTGCTTCACCTCCTCGTCCACTCGGACGCAGCAGCACCACAGAACTCTACGGATCAGAAGCTCCGCCTCCTTCTCACTCGGCTCCTCCAGTCGGACGCCGTCCTTCTCAGGAGCAGGAGCGGGGAGCGACGAGGGGGAGGAGCAAACAGGCTCCTCCCCCGAGTCATCCAGACTCATCTCAAAGTAACCATCCCTGGAGCTCGGGCTGAAAGGACGAGCAAAAGAAAAGATTCTGACACTTTTTCTGCTTTAGCTTCTTCTTGACAACATGATCACCATGGCAGCCATGAAGGTTTGTGGATCCCAGAAACCGGAGAGGTTCTGATCCACAACAAATCTGAACCGGTTCTTCAGATTTGTTTAGAGCACAACGAAACAAATCATTGTTTACATAGTGCAGCCATTTTTTATTTAAAAACACCGATTTGTTTATGACCTTTCAGTGTCGGCATTTTAAACTAAATTTTAAAGAAGCATCTGAAAATGAAAGTTAAACAAGCAGAAAAAAGCTTAAATTAGGAGGAAAAAGCAAAACAGTAGCTAAAAAAACATTTTTAAAATATCAGGTCTTTAAAAAAAATCTAATAATGGCAAAACAGTTGCTAATATCTAAAAGTACCAAAACAATACCCGAAGGCTAAAATGAGCAAAACAGCAGCTAAAGGCAAAAAAACAAGCAGAACAGCAGCTAAAGACTAAAACAAGCAAAACAGTAAAGGCTAAAATGAGCAAAACAGCAGCTAAAAACTAAAATGAGCAAAATAGCAACTAAAGGTAAAAACAAGTAAAATAGCAGCTAAAGATTAAAATGAGCAAAACATCAGCTAAAGACTAAAATTAGCAAAACAGCAGCTAAAGACTAAAATGAGCAAATCATCAGCTAAAGGCAAAAAGGAGTAAAATAGCAGCTAAAGACTAAAATGAGCAAAACAGCAGCTAAAGGCAAAAAGGAGTAAAATAGCAGCTAAAGACTAAAATGAGCAAAACATCAGTTAAATGCTAAAACAACCAAAACAACAGCTAAAAGTTAAAACATCTAAACCTCAACTAAAACTAAAATCAGCTAAATATTAGCTAAAAAATAAACCCATGAAAACACTAGTCAAAAGCTAAAGCAACCTAAACAGTAGCTAAAAGTGATTAGATTTAGAATAGATTTTAGAAAGCACAAAGTTTTTCTAAGATTTTAGGTTTATTATTAATCTTAATGAGGGGTAAAGGTAAATAAAGTTAGATCATTTTAAAATGATTAAACGTTACAAAAATCATAAGTCACAGCTAAAATGTCCTGAACAAGCTGAACATTTTGATGTAAGAAGTTAAAACAGCTAAAGTATGCAGACACAGAAGTGCCTGAGCGTTCAGCTGCTTGTAGCTGTAACTGGATTCAGAATGAGCCGAAGACGAACCGAAGTACCTGTGACCGCCCACATCCACATGAGACTGAATCGCTCTGGAGTCAGACCTCCTCTCCTCCTCCACCTCCTCCTGCTGCTGCTCCTCCACCTCCTCTTCATTCACCATCTTCTCCCTCGCAGCCAAGCTGAGCTGCTGGGAGAGCTGGGTAATGAAGTTTTTGTTGGAGGAGGTGGACAGATGAGCAGGAAGCAGAGGACACCAGGTGGCGCTGCAGGAGGAACAAGGAGCTTCAGGAGGCCTGAAGGGCGACGAAGAGGAGCAGCAGCAACTGGAAAGGAAGTGACAGAAGCTAATTTAAATAAAATTAAATTAAAAAAGTTGTATTGACATGTTTCCTGCTTAAGGAAAAGGTTTTAATATTTGTTTTATCTGATCAGCTTCTTTTTGTTCGTTTCAGCCTCGTCCTTCATTTCAGATCATTTTGAAAGTGACTCGAACTGACCAAACGGCTGCAGAAGAAGAAAAGTCGCTCGTGTGGTCTCCACGGAGTGACTGTCCGGACAAACAGACGGCAGGTTGCTGTACCTGCAGGTAAACACAAACAAAAGGCTATCTGTGCACGTCATGTTCAGCTGTTTCCTCTGCTCACATCCTCTCTGCAAATTATGATTTTTTTCATCTAAAAAACATCTCAACCCGTTATTTTTCTCTTTCTAGTTTAAAAATGGCGTCAACCAGAGAACATTTTCTGTGGAATCTGTGTGAAGCCACGCCCACTAAATTAAAAGAATAATAATTTTGTACATATCTATTTTATTAACTTTTAATTAAATACATACCGGTAACATACACAAATACGTGCAGTAAATGTTTTTTTTCTGAACAGTGCCGGTAACACAGCTGGTTAAGAAAATAATAATAAATACAGTTGTCTACCAGGAAGTAATTGATCACCATCTTCATATTCTCCTGCTCTGCGGTCAGGATCCACTGACAGAGGATCGTTTCATTGGTCCACTGTGACCTGATCAATAATTGGTCTGATTTAATTACTCGTTTATTTTTTACCTTTATTAATATAGGTAGTCTCGAGTCACAAGGACTCACCCAAGAGAGATGTGTACTGGGCAGCTATACGAGCGCCCAGGTGTGACGAGGCTAAATGTTTTGGCGGCAGGAAGCTCGTTAGCCCGGTAAAAATAAAAAAAATCCATGAATTAGCCGCAGCGTTGGATAAACTGTGTGGTTCAAAGCGTGCGACAAAAGTAGCGGCTTACAGTCTGGAAATTACGGTACATTCATACTCAGTATGGTACTCAGTGTGTTCCTGTGATCTGACCTTTTTGTTGCCATGGCAACACAGGTGCACATCTCACCTGAGAGGAGTCCGCAGGCAGGAGGCGTGTGTCGGTGTTGAAGCTCGGAGGGGGAGGTGCAGCGTCCACAGGAGGGAGGACGGCAGGGGGAACTTCTCTGCTCGTCACTTCTGAAACCAAACGTCAGAGATGCTGAAAACACCCGAGACTTTTAAAACGGTTTGAAAGCTCTTACATCTTTGTACATTTTACAGAAAATAAAACGCGAAGACTGAAGCTGAATCACATCAAGAAACAAAAAGAAGAGTCAAAATAATCTCTTTATAAAGATCTTTAAAGATATCCGAGGTTAGGTTTCCTCCCACAGATCAAAAACATGCATGTTAGGCTGCCGTCAGGCCCAGGCCTCTCCTGCAAAAAAGATCTGTGCTCTCAATGGGATTTGCCTGATTTAATAAAGGTTTAATAAAGGTTCAATAAAGGTTTAATAAAGGTTCAATAAAGGTTTAATAAAGGTTCAATAAAGGTAAAATAAAGGTTTAATAAAGGTTCAATAAAGGTTTAAT